CCAGATGGATGGCTTGGATATCTGTTTTTCCGACAACTTAATGCTTTGAACTAAAAAACCTTACCAAAGAAAGTTATTTACTATTTGAAAATGGTAAAATGGGGAACTTGCTGCAAATAGCTTAATTTATTTTTAAGTATTTAGGTTCCCATAGTAGTGAATAAGATTGATGTAAAAGTGATTTATGTCACCAAATAAGTGATGGTAGAAACAAATTCTCGGCTTAATTATATTTTCTGGAATTACGCATGTTCATTTCTTTGTTAAAGGAGTATATTCAGGGGGCTCCCTCCAAGTGTATTTACTGAAAGCAAAAGTAGAAAAATCTATCCAAGAAAGTATTTGCTTTCGATTAAAAATTAGTCTTCTAAATATTAAATCTGTGGCCCATCTGCTTCTGTTTAATCTGGAATCTAATTTGGGAAAGAAGTGCGATGACTTTGTGAGTTTCTAACAGTAATGGAAGCAAAACAGGCCATTGTATTATAATATGATGCAGAGTTCAGAATCGTCCTGGAATTTTTTATCATGTCTACCCAGGTGCAAAGTCTCAGAAAAATCTATCCAAGTGCCGTGGGGTCTTTGCCCTAAGTGAAAATGAGTGCTCATCAGATTGTCTCTCTATTTGATGGAGCTTTAGAACTGGTTGCCCAGTGAGTGGGTTGATTTTAGTCAGCATGTTCTCTATTCCTATTTAAAATGTTTTTTTTTTTTACAAGTGGTGTGTAGCTATAAGTTTATATTTATAGATGTTTATGTCACTGAGGCCAGGACTAGTGAATTTGCTGGATGATAATATTTGCTACTATTTATTGAGCTCTTACCATGTGCCAGGTTAGGATTACAGGGTGAGGGTTATTTGATGCAGGAAAGGAATCTGAAAGAGCAGGTTGAATTTATCTAATAAAATAAAAGCTGCTGTTTATTGAGCTGTTCCTTTGTGCCAAAGGTTGAAGTAGATGCTTCATGTTGTATTTCACAACATACTCACAAACGTCTTTGCACGTGAAGTGTCCTAATAGCTGAGGATACCCAGGCCCATGTGGGAGGCCAGCTAACTGGAGCGGGGTCCTGAGCTCTTTCCACTGAACCACACTTCAGCTCCAATTATGCTCAGGTGCTTTTTGTTCAGGATAATTTATTCTGCTTGTCACCAGTGCTTCCCCCACTCTCCACCCACTACAGTTAGGGTAAATTTTGTTCACTAGAACTTTAGACGAATTTGGAAAAAAGTCTGGTGCAGTGATACTCAGTTTTTTAAATGAACCCTATTCATCATTCCCTAGAAATAGTTTGAAGATTCACAATTTGCTTTTGTTTGTTGTGATGGATTGCTGCAGTCAAATTAAAGTAAAATTTTTAAGCTGATAGGGTTGTTGCCCGGTTGGGAGGTGGGGTCCGTACAAGTAAATGGAGAGGAAGATGTTTCATTAACCTTTGTGTTGAAGAAGGCTCTCCCCTAAATTATTGCTATAATCCTTCATGAAGTTTGTTAAAAATGATTTATTAACTATAGACAAGGTTATTGCTAAGAAAATTGGTTTCTTTCAAATTATAATGTTCTGTTTTATTGGCAATGAGTTAACAGCACTTCCACTTAACTTTATGGGGTTGTTGCCCTCTTTGATTCCCAGCCGTTTCTTTCTTTCTTTCTTTTTTGAGGAAGATTAGCCCTGAGCTAACATCTGTGCCCATCTTCCTCTACTTTATACGTGGGACGCCTGGCACAGCATGGCTTGCCAAGCAGTGCTTAGGTCCGCACCTGGGATCTGAACTGGTGAACCCCGGACCGCCAAAGCGGAACGTGTGAACTTAACCGCTCTGCCACCGGGCGGCCCTGATTCCCAGCCATTTCTAACATCCATTTTCTGGCTGCTGGTAATGGGAATATTTAATGTAACTTTTGTTACGTATTGAACTGCCTCCTGAACAGTTTTTTCTTTTCGGTTTCTTTGAATTGATGATCTCCTGAATAAGAAGCCTCTCTGGTCCTCCACTCAGGCAGTGGTCATCTCTTACGGCTAGACTTAAAAGCCTAGGTGACTGAAATGAAATGTGCTTTGGATTGGGGTTTTAGTGAGGGGTGTATGAGTTTCCATTCTGCGTTAAACCTCAATTGAGGTGGCCGTGTAGTCTGTAATGACATACGTGTGTCTCATTAATCATGAAAAGGTGTTGGAAATGTGTCTTTTCTAGGGGTGAAATGAGCAGATAACGCTTCTTAAATTGTTACGATATTAGCTCCCCTCTCATGAGCTAACTCATGAGAGTTATGATCTAACTGGATCTTGTCTGATTCTCGCACACTTTTTCTTTTTTGGAGTCCGTGCTTTCTATAGATTAAAATTAACTGAGGCATGAATTTTCTACTCTTGCAGATTCCACCCTGACACAAATAGGGCCATTGTGTGCTGATGCCGTTATGATTTTGTACAAAATGCTAGGCAGTCCTTTCCCTGTCAGAAAGATGATTTATATGTAATAAGTTTGGTTATGCGTGGAAGCTTATGTTGCACAATTTGAACCAACTTGCTCAGTGGGACTCCATGACACTTTACCTAGATGACGGTCAAACATGGTTAGGTAAATGTTTCCTTTTGGTTTGTAGTAGAATGAACCTTTAGTTTGAGTACTGCTAGGTACTAATTTCCTTGTTAACCAAGAATTTATCATTTAAGCACTAAACTTAAAAAGGAATAGTAAAAAAAGACCAAATTTTTTTTGGATGAGGTTCTTTCTAAGTTTGCTACATTTTTTTTCTTAAATAGTATGTTTTGAACATGATTTATTAATGTTATTTTATAATATCAGTTACCATGTACCCTAAGAAAAAAATGTTTAACCGCCGTCTTTGGTATGGCATGTCATAGATTATAAGCATTTCACGTACATTACCAGGTAACCCACCCAGGAATCACACGATTGTTGTTTTATTAACATATTAAATTGGTGGTGGTAACCTTATTTAGTAAATTAAAAGGTTGAAGCCAAGAGGTGTAACTTGCTCAGGGTTATTTAGCTGAGTGCCAGAGTTGGGACCCAAACTTGGATCCCTTTTCAAGAATTTTCTGCACCCTAGCCAAACAGCTATTTGCTAGCTGGTTTGCCCTTATCCTGTGTCAGCATTTTGCAGCCAAGAGGTCTTTTATGTTCTTTTGTGTCTCCTTTAGTTGTGAGATGATGTGTATTATAAGTGATTTGTTACTACTAATTAAAATACCACTGTGAATTATTTATTTAAATTTGTGTTGGGTTTAAGGTTGTTCCTATACAATTGTGAATTCCACCAGGATGAGGGCTACATCTTATTTGTGCACTGTTCTCTTCCCGGTGTCTAGAATAGTGCCTGCAAATAGTAGGTGTTCAATAATTATTTGTTCCGTGAATAAAGCAATGAATTTAATTCACCCTCTTGCATTCTAGTATGCTTTCTTGAGTGGGAAAGAAAGGGAATTGGGCTTACCAGTCTTTCTTCTCTGCCACTGCTTGCAGTAAGTAAGTGCTATATAAATATACTGGTAATAAACATAATGGCTTTGGATTATCATTTGAAAATGGTTGGGGGATTTAAAAAATGTTTGCTCACGGAGGTGTGAATGTGTATATGAATCTCAGCTATTATTTATTTGTGTTGTGTCAAGATGTTTGAAACCTAGTGGTTGCAGACTGCTGTATTTCTCCCGCCTTCCTTTTTTTTTTGCTGTTAAGTTGTTGGCAGTTGTTTCTTACTCTTGTCATTATGTCTGACACTGGCAGTTCCCTTTTTCCATTCTAATGTTTTAATTTCTGGTTTGGGCTAGAAAACTAGTTACCAAACCTGCCATTGTTGGTCAGCATAGGTGGGCTTGAATTGAGGGAAGTTCCATTGAAAAGGCATGGGCTCTATTAGGTGGTCTTAGACATCTGTTTGGGCTGCTCAGAGGCCTTTTTCAGTTCTCATTCATGCTAGTCTCTTGAATGGGTAAGATTATGGAACAACAGGGTTCTAGATTGGAAAGTTGTTAGTATAGTTTCCTGTTTACAGAAAGAAGAGCTTGAGTTGTTAAAACACTGTAGGACAAATTAGAGCTCATGATTTTATATCTGAAATCATCTGGACAGTGAACAGCTACTTTTTATTGTCTGTTAAGGCACAGTAGCAGTGAGCAATTGAAATGAGCAAAATTAGTTTATGTTGTAAAAATTCAAAAAGCATCTCAAGGTAAGAAATTCTATTTGTTACTGACTACTACCATTTAAAAAGAAGGGAACCTCTAGATAAATCTGACCCAAGGGTTTGAAACTTAAATTCTTATGTCACCTAAAATCCAATTCTAAAGAATGATTATGATTTGGACTTACTAGAGGTAATGTGTTTTTTCATATTTGCAATTTAATGGAGGAATATTTATGTACAAAGTGGTGCCTTTTTGTAAATTTTCCCGTGTAGTTGCATTTGTATCACCAAACATATGGTCAGGACATCTATGAATAAAATACTTAGCCAGTAGTTAAAGGGCAAGGGAACCCCATAAGTTTAAAAGTTAGGCTTGTGTGATTGTCCAGTTTCTTTTTTAAAAATTAATTCTGAGGTATTCACAGCTCCCTTATCAGGAAGTAATTGAGACTGAAAAAGGGAATTTCTGCTGGTTCTTATCTTTGTGTCTGTGCGAAGCACTCTCTACCCAGTTCCCAGGCAGTCTTGTCTTTTGTAGACTCTAGTGTGTTGCTTCAAGCCATGACGTCATCCTTTCAGAAACTTGCCTACTTGTAAATTTTAGGTTTCCCTAAAACTTTAGCATTATATATCTTCATTTTCAGAAAAAAATTTGCTTTAGTGAATTATTACTGTTTCTTATTTTCCAGGAGTTTCCTAACCACATAACCTCTCAGAACTGAACCAAAACAACATTGTTCGTGGAGCACCTCTTTTTAAGGTACACGTAATTTGGCTCTGTAATTTCAGGCCTGTTCATAATCTGTAATATTTTTGCACTCTTCAGTGACTTGTGTGGAAAATGACTTTTACTTCTGGGTGTACTATTAGAGAAACAGAAGAAATTTTATGCAGTTTGAATTTCCTTTTACACTTGAGATTTAATTAGAAAGTAAATGCAGGGAAAGTTGTTGGCAAGAATGTAAAACCCTCTAGCCAGCACTGCCATGTACTTTAAATGTAGACAGGAAAATTGACCACCGAAGTTGTCATTAAACGTAACTCCCTCAATAAGTCTCTTGATCATAGAAACTTTTGTAGTTTGCTTTGACTTTTCGGATTATGTTAAATCTGGTTTTCAAACTTGTGGAAATAATCCAGCGTTGTTGTCTCCTGTGAGATTAGGTTATGAATCAAGTTCTGTTCACCACTGGCCGCTTATGATCTAGACCAAAAAAGTTTCCTGCGAGTGTTCAGGATTTTACAGACTTTTGTCAGGGCACTGCAGAGTCCACTACGCAAACTAGCAACGCTTTGTGTTTTTTAGCACTTCCCCTCCAGGAGCTGAAAGCACATTGTCATGCCATGTCTCTGGGGGTGGTAATTAGTGGACAAGTTAACCCAACTTTCTTTGGGGATGAGGAAATTGAAGCACAAGGAAATTATAGAAGTTGCACAAAGTTTAGTGAATGGATTTACGCTCATCACGCTGACTCATCACGCTGAATTTGTAAAATGCTTTGTTTGTCAAAGAACTGAATAACTGTTACCATGCCTCAGGATTCCTTCAGTGGTTTAGCTCTCACATTGCTACAACTGAAGCTTTGTCAAATATCCTGTTACAAAGTGCTTTGGAGAAACTGAGGTACCCGACAGTGGATTGCCAAGAGTTGGACATGTAATTGCTCTCTGAGTTGGAATAGAACTGAAAGCCACCACTCAGAAGTTTGGTCAGTTTTAACATCGTTGGTTGCTACTTAGCAGCGAGGCTGGTTTCTTAGAAACTGGGTCTTGGCACTGATCTGTTTTGCATGAAGATGATGGTAAGTGCGGTTGTGTTTCTGGGTAGATGCCACATGGTTACGGACTACAAATTCCCTTTTCTGAAAGGAAAAGCCAGTTAACTGTTATGTTGAACCGAGCCCTTTCTTACTCAAGAATATGTCAGTGCTACTCTTAAAAATAGGCAGCAAATCATGCACAGATATTCATTTTGATTGGTTTAAAACATTTTTATATGTTTTTATGTTTAAATTTTAAAAACACTTTCATATTTACAAAAATGGTAAGTATTCGAATTTATTTTTAAGAATTTCTTCTAGGGAAGGGCTAAGCTTTCAAAGCTGGAAAAGAAAATAAGGTTTGCAGTTTGTTAGGCTGCAGGGCTAAATTTTTTTTTCACTTTAGTACAGACTATTGTGTGATGGTTTTTCTAGGATGAACAATTAATAATTAATTCTTTTTTAGGAAACGTTTCTTTAAATGGACCACCCAATGGTTCCATTTGAGTGGAAAGAAAATCCTCCGTTGCCTCTTTGGCATTGGGCCAGGTGCGAGATGGGGCCGCAGTCAGTCACTTGTATCCGATGCAAAGGTCTCGAGCAGCCTGGGCTGTTTCCAGGCATTATTGTTGGCCGCTTTTATTGTCTTGCGAGTGATTGTGCCTCCTCAGGGCTACTTCTCCTGCGTCTTTCTCTTGAGTACCAAGTACACAGTGGTCTTTTTTCTTTTTTTCCTTTTGAGTAGGTTTGTCATACTTCTTTTAAAGTATCTTTTCTTACTGTGTGATTTGATATATCGGCCTGCTATTGGACATTATTTGCTTGACATTGACTTTGTCTTTTTGGAAATGATTATGTAGGATGATAATGATTGCTGTGTTTCTCTATGTGTGGCTGTCTTGCCTATAGGTGTTTGGATGTTTAGAGTCAATGAATTGCTGTTTCCTGGGGGCAGAGGATGGCAAGTGCTGGTTGGGGGTGAAGGTGGGGAGATATGGTGGGTGGGTGGGGTAAGTTTACTTGCAGAAAACATGTAATCACATTGCAACTAGAAAAGTGTGTCAAAAAAGGATCTTGGAAATAACTGTTGGATGTGAGGGAATGATATGGGTATTTTAGGTGTGTATTTCCAGGGTATTGTAGGGAAAGTGGTTTATTCCTTAGCTTTTTGTAGTTGTTGACAAATGTCTCTAAGAGTGGAGCCTTTCAAAAACTAAAGAGAGGGGCCAGCCCTGTGGCTGAGTGGTTAAGTTCGTGCACTCCGCTTCGGTGGCCCAGGGTTTCGGAGGTTTGAATCCCGGGCACAGACGTAGAACTGCTTGTCAGGCCACGCTGAGGTGGCGTCCCACATGCCACAACTAGAAGGACCCACAACTAGAAATACACAACTATGTCCTGGGGGACTTTGGGAGAAAAAGAAAAAAAAATTAAAAAAAAAAACACCAAACCAGGACAGATAAATAGATTTAGTTAATTAAAGATCTCTTCTTGTGTCTTTGAGGAAAAGTTTAACAAATAGGTTCTTTCTAGCACTTAAGAATGTACAGTCTGCCAAATAAGGGTTCACATGTTGTAGATGCTTAAAACATTTTTGTTGGATATTGAATGAATATATCCTAAAATTGCTATTGATACTGCCAGTGCTTTCTCAGGGCAAGGAACTAGAGTACTCCTGTGTACCTCTGCCCATGCTACACAAGATTTAATGAAGGACTTTGAAGTGGGGATATTTAGTGAAATGTTTGTGGCTATCTTAAAGCTTGTCCAGAATTGGGATGACTGCTTTCTTTTGTTTGTATGTTTCTTTTCTTTCTTTTTCTTTTTTTTTTAAAAAAAAATCTTGTTTGGAAACATCACTTATTACAAAAGGAAATTTTTTTTTTTTTAAGATTGGCACCTGAGCTAACAACTGTTGCCAGTCTTTTTTTTTTTTCCTGCTTTATCTCCCCAGATCCCCCCGGTACATAATTGTATATCTTAGTTGCAAGAAATGATGTGTTGATTACACAAAAGTATAGATACTTCATTATAAGTCATGTATTAATCCAGTTAAAAAATTGAATATTAACAGTGATGTTTTTCCATAACTGCTGAAGTAGTTATTTCATACTACAACAATTTAACAGTCTGTGGCTGAAAGTGAATAAGGCTAAGTACTATTGCACATCGTTCTGTAACCTATTTCTAGAAGAATCTGCCTTCTTGTGCTTAAATACATCACTCAGACTGCGCGCTCAGTGTGGCCTAGGTGGATTTGCCGCTGAGTGAGCAATATGCACTTTGCGCCTGATTGCTTTTTAGCACATCGTGTATGATTTTAAAAAATGCTGTCGTAGACTTGATGTGTCCATGTTCCCCTTCCCCACAACCTGTTAAAGAGTACTTGACACTTGTAAAATGGAAGCTGCCAGCCAAGGAGAGACTATTTTTACGAGAAAATTTTTGTGTCACCAAGCCAAAGTTAGACCCTGGAGGGACTTGAAATTAGGAATCTTTTAAAAAGAGGTACCCATGACTCTATCCTATCACCCCTCTTAGTGTTAGAGTGCTTATATACGCTCCGTAAAGTTAGGATTCGAGAATAGGATGATCCTGTTTTCCTGAGTTGGTGTCTAAAGCTCTTCCAACAGGAGAAGCCCAGGAGATGAAAGGCCCGCCTCTGTGCTGGAGGCAGGGAAATGGCAGCATGGCACAGGCTTAGCAGAGGTGTTTCCAGCACTGGGGACACTGAAGAGTCTTTGTGTTTCAAACTTTTCAGCCTAATTTTACTGTGTAATATTGTTCTTCTGTAAGATGATTCTAACAAAGCATTTTAATCTCTCTTGAATCCCTAATTTATTTGGTGGATAACAATTCTTTAAAACAGGTTTAAAGGAAAAGACAAGTTTTGATGTAAGGATTTAATCTTCAGGACAGAGTACTGTTGAGCAACAAGTTCTAAATTCATACAGAAATAATCATCTCCAAAATTCCATGAGTCCCTGAAAGTGGCTATGAACTATATAAATGGCAGTAGTGAAAAGCTTTGTTCTATGAATTATGTGGGTAAAGAATTTATTTTCCCCCATTCATAACTTTGATAGCTGCATGACTTCTCATTGAGAGAGGAGCGTCTGTTTGGGCAAAATATTAGCATCAACTTTTTAGAGCCTTTTGAGATGAAAAGGGGATTTTCTTTTCCTGTTTAAGAATGTAAGTTACTTATTACATTATAAGATTTTATTTTGTGGGTTAGTGTATGTGTACTTGAAACAGCATCCTTGGCCCCTCTGCCCACTAGATACCAGTAGGTCCTCCCATCCTCCAGTTGTGACAACCAGATGATGTCTGCAGACATTGTCAGATGTCCTTGGGGAACAAAATTACCCCCTCTTTAGAATCACTGCTTTAGATTCTCTTTTCAGGCTTAAAGACACATAGAAGTGTTGAATTAGCAAATAACTAAAACTTTTTAGCAAATGAGTACTATTTGTTGAATTTTAGTATTGTTCATGTTGGAAATTAATGATTTGCAAAGTAGACAATCTTATTAGGAGAGTTTAAAAAATTTTTATTTGCAGTTTTGAACTGCTTGTTTCAACCAATTTTTATAAAGACATAACTCCTCCAGGTGAACTTCAGGCCAACATTTTTGAGACAATTGTAAGTAAAAGCCTGTTTGTTCTCTTTCTTAACTTCTAGAAAACCTATGTATTTATGTCTGTGACTGCAACTGCTGGCAGTAGGCCTGTTATAGACAGCATTAGACAAAAAGGATCCCTTTGGGCCCCACCTTTTCTAAATTTAGTTCATTCAGTCTCAGATTCTCAGAGCCACCCAGAGCAGAGTTGGGTTGTTTCTTCCGGGATACGGGTAGACTACGGAGCAAACACTTTGCTTTTGGCTTATTTTTTGACTGTGACCTGTGGTTGGTGTTGTGAAGTTGTGAGTACGCTTCTTATGATTTTTTTTTTTTTTGATAGAAAAGTGCCTTCCAGACAGAGTTTATAAAGAGAGGGAGGAAGAAGAAGTGAATAGAGGAGGATAGGGAAGATTGAGAGAGAAATATTTTTATTTTGGCAGCTGAAGGAAATAAAAACAGAGAAACAAGGTCATAGCTGACTTCTAAACGGTTCTGGACTTGTTTCTTGACACTGGCAGCTTGTCTGCTAAGACCATTATCCAGATCTTCAGTGGATCTCCTCTCTTATTTTGTTTTGATTTCAAAAGCGAACAAGAAACAACTGCAATATTGGGAAATTTTGTTGAATAAGGTAATGTTTATGCCTCTGCTATCCAAGTTATACTTCAGCTGAGGATGTTGTTGTTGTTTTGAGTTTTACAGTGCTTTTTGCTCTTGGCAAGAGAGAATGTGCCAGGACTCCTCAAGTAACTTAATTGCTCCGGTCATTTATCTCTTTCCAGAGGTCCAGCTTTAATTAAAAATCATTCTGAGCCTTTTAAAAAAATTAAAGTAGCGAACAATTAGTCTGTAAGAGAACTTCCAATTTGTTAGTTTGCTGGTTCCTGCTTTGGCTGGCTTTTTCTGCTCTTTGTTGCCACTGGTTATTTTGAAGTACTTTGGACTTGCTTAAACATTTTCAGCTTTTGAAGGATGGCCGTGAAAATGAGCACAACTGCTCTTATTTTGACTCATGAAAAATTTAAATGTATTTAGAAATAAAACCTTTGGAACTCAGAAGATGAAGTAAACAATCTCCTCTACTCAGGCTCCGCCCACCCACACCAGTAAGATTGCCGATCTGAAATCTGTTCCTCTCTTCTTCATCTCTACTTTTGCTTTTAACAGTACAAACACTATAGAATGTTCTTTGCTGTTCAAATAATTCTCAGGATTGTGCGCACTGATATGGGTGCAACCGTTTTCTTGTTTGGGGTCTGTAAATGAGACCATCTCAAACAAACCTCTTAGGAAAACAAATAGATCTTTTATCATCATAAGGAAAAAGAAACAGCAGAAGAAATTCCCCTTTCTTCAGTCAACTTCAAGGAAACTCTAAGGTGCCAATCTGGTACATGGCCCTTAATGTGGAAGCAGTATT